GGAGCCGCGGGGCGCGTGTGACGCGCCCCCCTCCCCTTGAATGAGCGCTGCGGTCGGGGGGGGAGGGAGGAGGTGGGGCTTACATGCGAACCCCACCCCTACCCCCCACGATTTCTGAGGGGGAGGGTGGGGTTCACTTCCTTCGGGAGCTCCCGAGCGAAGTGAACCCCACCCTCCCGCTCAGAAATCGTTGGGGGTAGGGGTAGGGTTCGCATCAAGCTAGCCAGCTCGAGGGAGTCAAGCATGGCATGCCCATTCCCACTCGCCCTCCCACAACATAAGAAACAGTGATGGCACAACTGGGGGCTGCGCGGGCATTTCTGTGCGAGTGGAGGGTACCCCAGGACACCGCATTGACGTCCGCGCGGGATGTGCGCCGCGTCCCATTCCCGCCACGCATTTCGCATCGACGACGACAAGACTGGCCATGTTGAAAGGAACAACGGACACGGTCCGCCCTCCCACAACATAAGAAACAATGCTGGCGCAACTGGGTGCTGGCGCGCAGTGGTAGTATTATTATTACTATTAGTAGTAGTAGTAGTAGTAGTAGTAGTAGTAGTAGTAGAAGTAGTAGTAGTAGTAGTAGTAGTGGTAGTGGTAGTGGTAGTGGTAGTGGTAGTAGTAGTAGTAGTAGTAGTAGTAGTAGTAGTAGTAGTAGTAGTAGTAGTAGTAGTAGTAGGAGTAGTAGTAGTACTAGTAGTGGTGGTGGTGTGTAGTAGTAGTAGTAGTGGTGGTAGTCGTAAGTAGCAGCAGCAGCAGCAGCAGCAGTAGCAGTAGTAGTAGTAGTAGTAGTAGTAGTCGTAGTAGTAGTAGTAGTAGTAGTAGTAGTAGTAGTAGTAGTAGTGTAGTAGTAGTAGTAGTAGTAGTAGTACTAGTAGTAGTAGTAGTAGTAGTAGTAGTAGTAGCAGTAGTAGTAGTAAGTAGTAGTAGTAGTAGTAGTAGTAGTAGTAGTAGTAGTAGTAGTAGTAGTAGTAGTAGTAGTAGTAGTAGTAGTAGTAGGTAGTAGTAGTAATAGTAGTAGTAGTGGTAGTGGTAGTGGTAGTGGTAGTGGTAGTGGTAGTAGTAGTAGCAGTAGTAGTACTAGTAGTAGTAGTAGTAGTAGTAGTAGTAGTAGTGGTAGTAGCAGTAGTAGTAGTAGTAGTAGTAGTAGTAGTAGTAGTAGTAGTAGTAGTAGTCGTCCTCGTAGTAGTAGCCCTGTGTCGCCGAAAGATCGTTCCAAGATGCCCAAGATGGCTTCCAGACGGCCGTAGCGACAAGAAACCGCGGGGAGCCTCGGGAGGCCCTCCAAGAACCTGAACAAGCAAAACCTCCCAGGCATTCGTCACCCCGGGGCCTTCTGGAACGCCCCGGCGCCCAATGAATTGGCGAGCTAAAAACGTGCGCCGAGCCAAAGCGGGAACGCAACTTTGAGAAAATTCCGCTCGGCGCCCAAGCGAGAAGGTCATTTCATTCACTTCGAGCGGGGGGGAGGGGGGTGTGCCGCGCCCAATTCTTGCCATGCACTTTTGCAGGGTGGACGACAAGAACAGTTACTCCAGATTTCGCAATAAAGGGAGGGGGGTCTCATTTCGGGGGGGAGTCTCTTCCAGGCTATCTTGGAGGGCCTGGGGGGTCTGGGGACGATGTTTTGGAGGGTTCTCCCACGGGGGGGGGGTCTGAAATGGCTTGTCTTGGAGGGTCCAGACCCCCTCCCTTTTACTACGAAATCTGGAGTATGTGGGCAGGGAAAATCAGCATGGCATTGTTTCTCACAAGTAAGGTGGCCCCTCCCGCCTTGGGGTTGTCCCATAAGTCCGCGCGCGATGTGCGCCGCGCCCCATTCCTGCCACGCATTTCGCATCGTCGACGACAAGACAGGCCATGATGAAAGGAAAAAAGGCAACTCTGTATTGTTTTCTACAGTCAGGATGGGAGGGCCCGCGGCCCGCATGGACGTCCGCGCGCGATGTGCGCCGCGTCCCACTTCTGCTACATATTTCGCACCGTCGGCGACAAGGCAGGCCATGCTGAGAGGAAAAAACGGAGACTTTGCATTGATGTTTTGCAATCAGGATGCGCGGGCCCGGATTGACGGCCGCGCGCGATGTGCGCCGCGTCCCATATGTGCGCCGCGTCCCAATGTTGCCACATATTTCGTACCGTCGGCGACAAGGCAGGCCATGCTGAGAGGCAAAAGCGAAGACTTCGTATTGACTTTTTACAGTCAGGATGGGCGGGCCCATATTGTCTGCCGCGCGCCATGCGCGCCGCGTCCCATTCCTGCCACGCTTTTCGCATCGCCGACGACAAGAATGACGATATTGAGAAGAAAACGGCCACTTTGTATTGATCTTTTAAAGTCCAGATGGGAGGTCCCGGATTGGGTCGCTATCGGCCGGAATACGAGGTAGGTGGGGGTATATAATAATAAGGAACAAGGATGTGGCCCCCTACGGGCCCCTGGCTGAACGCTGCGGTCGGGGGGGGGCGGCAGGGAGGAGGTGGGGCGTGAGGGGGAAGGAAGAGGAGGCCCGGCCCTCTCCAGGGGCGGGCAGGGGCGCCGAGGGATGAGGCGGGCGGGGCGCGGAGGGGGGAGGAGGAGGGGTGGGGGAGGGGGGAGCGGGGAGGGCCCCCAGCTCAGCGCTGAGGCGGGGAGCTCCGACGTCGTGGCCCTCCCTGGGCATCCCTTGGGCCCCCCTCCCTGGGGCGGACCCCTCTGCCCGAGCCTCTGCGCTGCCGGCGGTCTCACGGGGCCCGTTGCGGGCCCCATGGAGGCCCCGAGCACGTGGTCCCCCCCCCCCTTTCCACTCACCACCCACCAAACCACCCCAACCCAACCCGAAGGCCTCAATTTGCCCTCCATTTCCAGGGGGGGGGTCCGGGCACATCGAAAAACACATATCGAGCCCATACCCCCCCAACCCCAAATTCGGGTCTTCGGGTTGGGTTGGTGTGGTCTGGTAGGGGTCATTCACCCCGTCGTTTGCTTTCTGTCCTGCTGCAGCGAGAGTCGAAGACAAAACCAAACAAACATGAACATCATCTTTTGGCGCTCCACGCGGATTTCTTGGATCCGCGCCTGGGCCCCCCCAGCGGGGCCTCGGGCGCCGCCCCTGGCGCGCTCCGCGCGCCGGGGAGGGAGGTCCAGCGCAGATCCAAGAAACCCGCGCGGAGCGCAAGAAGTTTATGTTTATGTATTCCTTCTCCGAGAGAGGTGGAGATCTCCTTTCTAGAAGGAGATCTCCTTATAGAGAGGAGGTTCGTGGGCGAAAATCACCGCCCACCAAACCACCCCAACCCCATCCGAAGGCCCCAACTTGCCCTCCATGCCCCGTGGGGAAACGGAGGGGGCTTCGGGAAGCATTGAAAGAAAACACGTGTGGAGCCTGCACGTACCGCGCCCAACCCGAACATTTGGGTCATCGGGTTAGGTTTAAGTCGGGCCTGTCCCTCTACAGGGGGAATATTCAAAAATAGTCCAAAATAAGATGGGGACTCTTTTTTTGTCATGGTGGGGCATCTTTTGAATACTTTTTGAGTATTTTTTATGTTTCGTCGAAAATCCCCCTGTAGGGTGACACGCCCGACTTAAGGCTAGGTTGGAGTGGTCTGGTAGGTAGTCAGAAAAACGCATCCGCGGCCTCGCGGGCCGGGCATCTGGGCCGCGGCCCCGCAGTTACGGGGCGTTTTGATTGCGGATGCTCCGCGCGGAAGGCCTCCGTATGAGGATGAGGATGAGGATGATGATGATGATGAGGAGGAGGAGGATGATGATGTTGATGATGATGATGATGATGATGCTGATGATGATGATGATGATGATGATGATGATGATGATGATGATGATGTTGATCATGATGATGATGCTGATCATGATGATGTTGATGTTGATGATGATGATGCTGATGATGAGGAGGAGGAGGAGGATGAGGATGAGGAGGATGAGGATCAGGATCAGGATCAGGATCAGGATGCTGATGAGGATGATGATGATGAGGAGGAGGAGGAGGAGGATTATGACGATGATGATGCCGATGCCGATGATGCTGATGATGATGCTGATGATGATGATGAGGAGGAGGAGGAGGAGGAGGAGGACGAGTATGAGGATGAGGATGAGGATGCTGATGCTGATGCAGATGAGGATGAGGATGAGGATGAGGAGGAGGAGGATAATGCTGATGCTGATGATGCTGATGCTGATGCTGATGCTGATGCTGATGATGATGATGATGATGATGATGATGATGATGATGTTGATGCTGATGCTGATGCTGATGCTGATGCTGATGCTGATGCTGATGATGATGATGATGATGATGATGATGATGATGATGATGATGATGATCGCCGCCCGACCCAGATTGTACATAATGTAGCCGTGTCTTCGACCAGCCCCACGCACGAATCGTCGCCAGAAGTTAGCTTTGTTACGTGGAAGATGCCCCCCCCCCTCAACGCGCTGGCGTCGGAGGCCATCGGGCCCACGAAGCGGCTGCGCACACGGGTGTCGCTCTCCGACGTGGCGCTCGCTCAGGCTGAGCCTCCGCTAGCTCCACGTCTGCATGCCCTTGAATGTATATGGTTGTGCATGTGTTCGGCCTAGCTCGATCAGAAACATGTTCTCCGCTAGTGACAGGTGGGGCTCCTCTCTTCCTCGCCCGCCCTCCCTCGGATCTTCGATTCACTTTCGGTTGGCAGCAGTGCATCGCCTGACGAGTGGTCACCCGTTGCCCTGCACACTGCAGCACGCATCGCGCGCTGCACTCTTCCCGTGTCTGGCCAAAGCTTGCCCCTCGCCGCACAATCTGAAATGCCGCTTCGATAGATTTTCGAGGCTTTTGAATCTGCAAAGGGTGGATCACAAGACGGATTGATTCTCGAGGTGCGAAAAAGCCTATATGGATTTCACCCTGAGCCCTCCACCCTAAGAAAATCGGTATTGTTCAAGCGATCCCCATCCCTATCCCCATCTCCTTCGAGACCCCCACGAGAGTACCACCTCCCCGTTGGGGATACACCACTCGAAACCCGAAGAGAACGACCTGTATCCCCATCCAGGGGGGTAAATCTGCCAGTGGGGCCCAGGCCACGCCGCTGGGGATTGGGATCGGTTCAGCGATACGCAGAGAATGCTCAGACGCTGCGCACCGCTACGCCGCGTTCTCGTCATCGCCCGCCCTCCCGCCCGCGCGCGCCCAAGAGGACATCGGCCTCGCCCTGGCGTGCCGCCACCTGTGCCCCGACGCCGGGGCCTCGGGCTTGCTTCGGCACCCCGCCAGCGGGGGCCACTGGGTTGCTCCACCTAGGGGCCCATCTCCTCCGCCTCCTCGTCCTCCTCCTCCTCCTCCTCCTCTTCCTCCTCCCTCCTCCCCCTCCTCCACCACCTCCTCCTTCTCCTCCCCCACCCCCGCC